GACAGGAAAGTCTGTGAGACTCTTGTTTCCAATAAACTGCTCAGAAAAAGACGAAATGGCACTGTGGCTCAAGTGGTAGAGCACTAGCCTTGAGCACAGAGAGGCTGAGGGACAGAGCCTAGCCCCTGAGTTCAAGCCCAAGGACTAGCATTAAAAAAAAGAAAGAAAAGAAAGTTTGGAAGTGGGTACCAATAGATAAATATTGAGAATCTGCATATCGAAATCAGTGTATGAGACTTTGCTTGGGAAAACTAGAAATTGAGGAGCTCAGACCATTTGTTAGAATAATAGTTCTCACAAAGAGAAACCTGTCTCCTCCCCTGCCTCAGCTGCCTATACCATAACATGGCAAGCTTGGTTCCAAAGGTACATGTGTGTGTTCATACATGTGTGTACGTGTGTAAATACGTGTGACAGGCAGATACACACACAGCCAATCCTAAGCATTATGGAGAGAACTGGAGGACTGTTGACCCCTGGACAGCTGGGGGCAGTCTGAGAGATCTACCCAGGAGATTTGGACTCATTTATGGCTTAAACGGCCAACCATTCAACTAGACAAATCTGCTGGCAGAGTCTAGGGCTATCTTCCACCACAGGGGTGTATGGGCAATGCCTGATCCAAATCTCAGGCATTCCAGCCTCTTTTGAGGAAAGGGAGGCAGACTTGTCCAGCATTTTTGTGCTGGCCAAATGGAGAACAGACCTTTGATTGCATCTCCATGCTGGTAAAGATCTGACTCATGCCTGTCATCCTAGCTACTCAGGAGGCTGAGACGAGAACCATGGTTTGAAACTAGCCTAGGCAAGAAAATCTGTCAGACTCTTGCTTCTCATTAACCAGTAAAAAGAATAAATAAACGATGGAAGTAGAGGTATGGCTCAAGTGGTAGAGTGTCAGTCTTGAGCAGAAAAAGTTAAGACAGTGCCCAGGTCCTGAGTTCAAGCTCCATCATACACACACACACACACACAATCTGCTGACATGCTTTGCTTCTCAGTTCTTACTCAACCTGATCTGGATCAGTGCTGTGAGAAGCGTGTTTCCCCAGCACTCTCAAATGTGTCCTTTGGGGAAAGAATGCTTAGGAAACAGCTGGGCTGTTTCTCATGGCACATAAAATCCACCCACGGGTTACTTGAGTGTCTCTGGAGTGCAAGCTCACCCCAGATAACTCAGATTCCCCCCCCCTCAACCCCTGGGTTTGCCCAATCCGAACCCACATCTTGCAGGGACCAGCTTTAGTTTTAAAAGCAGTTCCAGCAATTCACACTTGTGATCCTAGCTACTCAGGAGGCTGAGATCTGAGGATCATGGTTCAAAACTGACCTGGATAGAAATATCTGTGAAACTCTTATCTCCAAAGAAACAGCAAAAAGCCAGAAGTGGAGGTGTGGCATAAGTGGTAGAGTACCAGCTTTAAGTGAAAGAGCTAAGCAAGAGTGTGAGGCCCAAAGTTCACATCTAGGTACTGGCAAAAAGGTCGCTCTGGAGACTTGTATGGAGAGTTGGATGACAAGAAGTGACAACTCAAGCCGAAACCTTTAGGACGGTGGCAGATGAAACTGTCAGAACACAAGCAGAGAGGCCTCTCCCATCTATCTGTGTAGAAGAGAGGGAAGATACAGGATGGGAGGATTTTCTCACATCTCTACAAATGTTGTTCAACCAAAGCAACCCTTGAAAATCCATGAGGCACCCTCTGCTTCACCAGCTCACAGAGACAGCAAGGCTACGACTGAGCCCTTCATAGTGAAGTTCCATTTACCGGTTCACTCAGTCAAAAAGACAAAAACCTGTGAATAAATCTGTACCTTTTTGGGACTTTCGCACCCATGGTTGTCTATTCTCAAGTCTCTGTCCCCCAACCCTATGTCATTCTTGCTTTGAGATCATGGTTTGAAGCCAACCTGTGCAGAAAAAGTCTGTGAACCTCTTATCTTCATTGAACCACTAAAAGGCTGACAGTGGGGTATGGACAAAGTCTCAGAGAACGCATGTTCTAACAACTCATGTGACCTATGGCCAGAGCTAAAGTCCCAGGAGTACAATCTTGGATTCAGTAGAACAGAATTGCAAGAAGTGGTCTAGTCCCCAGCCTAGGTGCCCCCTTCCTACCTTTTGGGGTCTAGATTTTCTTCCCCATAAAGCCAAGCCACAGAACTCGCCTCCAAGCTCACCTTCCCAAGGAGGCTGGGTACAGCAAGGTCCCCATCCAGGCTTCACAGAGGATCCACAATGGAATCTGAAAGCATCTCCAAATACCATTTTGTGTCTTTGGCCTCTTAACTCAGAATCTGGGGGAGAGGGGAAGACAGGGCCAGATAGCAGTGCTTTTGTCAGCTCAGAATGGCATGCAGGAGAATTATTTACACATATCAACTTCCTCCTTCACTCCAGCCTTGTTCTATACATCAGGGCCTCCAGCTCATTTGTTCCTTTACTAAACCTGTGTCTGGTTCATATCCGGACCGCAGGCTGAGAACCACCTCTAGCAGTGTGTGTTTCAAATATGTGACCCTCATAAATGCGTGTATGCACACACACACACACACATCCTGGAGACCACAAGAAAGCCAGCCTCCACTTCCAGGTGCACACTCTTCCTCTTTATCTTGGGCTAAGAAAGACCCATGCTTTCTCCCCCCAAACTTTTCACACTATCCATGTAATCACCTCCAGGTGTATTTCTGAGCTACAGCCTGAATCTCCCTGGTGGCACCTGCAGCTTTCACTTCAGCTACTTCCCACTCGCTGGGCCACTGACTCATGGGTCAGGTGTTAGGGTTCTGTGCGTCACCTTGATACAAGTCCCACCTACCTCATCACCCTTTGAGTTTTAGGGCCTGCTTCCACTGTTCCCTAGCCACTGGGCTGAGTGAGCAGGGACGTTATCTGTCCTGAAGGTCCCCAGCCTAGTGATGGCTCCTTGAAGCCATCCAAGGAGCAGTGATTCACATATATCTGAATCTTAACACAGGATCCTCTGCCAACAGTGAGAAAATGGCACCTGAAACCATGTCTACAGATCTTGCTCCCCAGATCTCCAGGATTTGTCTGGCTAGAGACTACTAGGAATTTTCCCTTTAAGCTTAGATAAGTCAATTCCCAATGGGTCCCCTGCCTAAACCAAGAGGACAGCTCTGAAGACTGTTTCTAGAAAGGTCTCATCTATCATAGGATCATTAATGAGAGCGCCACCCTTCAGTTTGGATATGGCAGGCAGTGGTTCTAAGCTTGTGGTGATGCCAGCCAGAGATCAGATCCTGAACTCAACGTGGTCCTCTTATTTGCAATCACCAGTTTGTAAATGCTGGTGACTGGAGAATGGGAAGTCAGGGGAAAGGCAGGGCAGAAAGAGACACAGAAAAAGATCTTCAGTGGCGATTTGTTGTCGTTTTCTAGATAGGTCTATGAACAAAAGAAGACAGGTGGGGGCTAGGGAAGAAATAATTGTGAGTTATTGGCAAAATGCTGTCATGAATAAGCTACTGGAAAGTGACTCAACCCTCATTTCTTACAGAAAGTGTTTTGGTTTGTGAGCTTTAGAGATGATCCCAATATTAGCTGGGTACCAGTGGCTCATATCTGTCATCCTAGCTACTCAGGAGGCTTGAGATCTGAGGATCACAGTTCAAAGCCAGCCAGGGCAGGCAAGTTCAAGAGAATTATCTCCAATGAACTAGGAAAGAGCAGGAAGTAGAGTTAAGGCTCAAGAGGTAAAGTGCTAGCCTTGAGCATAAAAGCTCAGAGATAACCCCCCCCCCCCCCGGCCCTGAGTTCAAGCCTCAGACCCAGCAGAAAAATAAAGAAAGAAAAGAAAAAAGATGCATGATTGCTGATAAATTTTTGGAAGACAGGTTGAAATCCATAGGCATAGACTTTTTCCTGCTCCACCATGCCAGTGGATTCTGGCCGCTCATTATCTTATCTTCCCCATTGTCAAGAAGAACAATAGAAGTTGGGTGGTTGAATTTAAATAAATTTTTAATGCCTGAAAATCATCCTATATGTTTTGAAACACTCTTTAAAGCTATTTTTATTCTCGGGGAAAGCGTTTATTCTAGGTAAATTACACATTTTAGTACCGGAGAATTAGGTTTCCCATTAGTACAAATTTAAAGCACTACAAAGACCAGTAGATAATGTTAATTTCAAATACAGAAACGAAATATATTTTGTGCTTTTTCTTTTTATTACTCATTTTCTTTTAAGTTTTATTGACTGCTTTTTATCTTAACTTATACGTCTTTACAGGCCGCCATCACCACGCACTGTAATGATATTAATATTTTATAGAATCGGTATTTATAGTTCTTTATTTAGAAACAATGCAGTAAGTCTCCAGCTATCTCAGCCCGTCTGGAATGGTGCCCTCCAAATAATGATAAATTACTTGTGCAGTATGCCATTTGCTAATTATATCCATGATTTACTGCAGTGCAAGACTTAAATCATTCATTTCAGTCTTGCGTAACGGTGCCATAAAAAATTTTTAGGTTTAAAAATGGTTTCCATGTGTATAATTTAAACAAATTTTAGAGCTCTTATATATATATACATATATATATATATATATATATATACAAAAAATATTGCAGCCACCCATTGGTTATATACTTTGTCTTCAGAAACTTCTACTTTTAATGATCACTGTGGTTGAAATTATTATGCTTAATTTTCATAATCATAGCTTTTAAACCTACAGCCATTTTCACATGTTAGATAAAGAAAAAGATAGCTAATTGTGTGTAGATCGTATGTCATTCCTGAATAGTTCCAAATGGTACAAAATCATTAAAAAAGCTTAAGAGTACGAATTATTCTTCTATTTAAAAAAAGGGAAACAAAAACAGTTGTTCTCTAACTAATTATTAGCTGCTTTGTTTCAAAGAACCCATTTGGATCCTTCTAGCCTGCATACCACAATGAGATAAACACTTTTTCCCTCTCTCTCTCTCTCTCTCTCTCTCCTCTTCCTTCTACTAATATCTTACAGGTGAGAAACCATATAAATGTCCACATTGTGATTACGCTGGTACCCAGTCAGCATCCTTAAAATACCACTTAGAACGACATCATCGCGAGAGACAGAACGGAGCCGGACCACTCCCAGGACAGGCGCCCAGTCAAGACCCCCGGGATGAGATGTCCAACAAAGCATCTTTGTTTATCAGGCCAGACATCCTAAGGGGCACCTTCAAGGGGCTCCCCGGAATTGACTTCAGAGGGGGACCTGCCTCTCAGCAGTGGACCTCAGGGATGCTGTCCTCCGGAGATTCCTTGGGGCCGGCTGCCAGTATGTCTTCAGAGACCCCTTCAGACACCCTGAAAGGTACTGACCTCCCTTCCAAAAGTACCCATTTCTCCGAGATCGGAAGAGCTTATCAGAGCATCTTGAGCAACGGCGTGAACTTCCAAGGGTCCCTGCAAGCGTTCATGGATAGCTTTGTCCTCAGCAGCTTGAAGAAGAAAGACGGGAAAGACAAAGCCTTGTCAGACATCCCTTCTTCTATGAAAGTGCACACGGTGGAAGGTGGTGAGGAGAAAGGCAGCGGGAAGCCTTCCCAGAAGAAATCTGAGAAATCTCAGTATGAGCCTCTGGACTTATCCGTGCGGCCAGATGCTGCCTCTCTCCCAGGCTCATCTGTAACGGTTCAAGACAGCATAGCCTGGCACGGCTGCTTGTTTTGTGCCTTTACTACTTCATCCATGGAGCTCATGGCTCTGCACCTTCAGGCTAACCACCTGGGCAAAGCAAAACGCAAAGAACCCGCCACGGGGGCAGCAGGCAACTGCAAAGAACAGACCCGAGAAGCCAGCAAGATGGCTACAGTACAATCCAACAAAGAGATGAGTCTTTCTAGCACGGTGGGCTGTCTAGAAGCAACTTCTGAGAAGTTGAGTCACGGACAGGCCAAAGAGACCCTGGGGGATCCCAAGAGTGCTCCGTGGCCTAGCCACGTGGACCCTGCGTTTACTAACTTCCCATCAGACTTCTATAAACAATTTGGCATGTACCCCAGCATGGTGGGCTCGGGGGTCACCGGTTCCTGCTCTAATAAGAATCCTGATGGGAAGTCTCACCCCGAAGATGATACCCCAATTTTGATCCCCGAAGCCACGAATAAAACCACTATGGATGACCTCTCAGACATCACCTCCTCTGAGGATATGGACTCTTTCAAAGAAGAGGAGATTGAAACTGAGCCGGAAATCATAAATAAGTCCCTGCCTGCCCTAGGCAAGGACAGCGGCAGTGACAGTGGGGACAGCCTGATGCCCTCCGGTGTCCCTCAGCCCATCCAGGGCCTGGGCTCACCGTTAGCCCCAACGTCAGAGAAGCAGTGGCTCAGCCAGGGTGCTCTTCAGACAAGCCAGGACGCCACCGCAGGACTGGCAAAGCCGGAGAAGCCCGTGAACATGCTCTCAGTCCTCAGGACCTTCAGTTCTGATGGCTTAGCCACCTTTAATGGGCTGGCGGGCAACACAGCAAATTCTGGATATATCAAGAGGCCAGACTTGTGTGGTAAGTTTTAGATTCCTCTTCCTTCGGTTCATTTCCCAACACATCAGAGCTGAATGGTGTATTGAAAAATATAAATATTTATATATATATATATATATAATGTGAGGTAGATGTACTCATTAGCGAATTTTAATTTGAACCTCAAAGAAAAGAATTTGAAGGAAAAAAAAAAGAACGCCAATAAAACCGCAATGTTGTATTATGCAATGTAGACAATCAGAAAAGTGGGTCTCAACTGAGAAGTTTGAAAATGCATACTTTGGTGGTCTAATCTGTATTAGAATGCTTTCAAAATGCCTATGCTCATGTAGGATGGGTCTCAGTGTGAATTGCTCCTGGTTTTCATCCATAACATTGAGGAGGGAAATATTAACAATAATAATAATAATAAACCACTTTAAAAACAAACAGAAAAGGGACATGTGGAAATGTCCGTATGCACACAATGCCTAAGGAGAGCTTACTGATTTGCTAAACTAAATCTGCTTCCTTAAAGTTCACCTGGATTGACTTTCAGAGGTTGCAAAAAATCATCATCCTACAAAATCACAGTGTAGAAAATAGAACAGGCCCTCTCTCCAAATAGGAGATGGTTTGTGGGTGTTTGTGACTCATATTTAGACATACCAAATGACAGTTACCCTGACTTTGGCCTTCCACTGTTGCCTTCTGTCCGTGTCTGTTTGTCTGTCTGTCTTTCTGTCTGTTGGTCTAAACTGAAATGCACATTGTGAAGTCTCTGATGAGCAGTGTTGTGAACCCCGTAAGTGTCTTGGATCTATGCCTGTCCAATCTTGTAGTAAATTATTAGCAAGTCTTTATCTCCTGAAAGAATACACTCCCCCCTGCCCTGCCGCCCCCCCCCCGCCACCACCCCCTCGAGTAATTCCAGATTTTTATACATCATCCTCAATGTGAAGCCTAGAACTGGATTAAGTGGATGTTGAGACTGACAGGCTGAGAGGATCAATGTCATTCTCATGGTCCCCACATTCCTATTTGAAAGTCTGACTCCAAAGAGCAGTTCACTACACGGTGGCCTTTGATACTGTCCCCCAAATATTCCTGATGCTTATCTGGGGCAACAAATGATCATGGTACCTGTATTTCATCTTTAATTTAGGATGTGACTTCATCTGTGATAGGAAAGAAGAGAGACTGGGTAGGAAAAATGAAGGAAGAAAGGAGGACAGAAGGAAGAAAGTAAGAAACATGAAGGAAGGAAGGAAGGAGGGAGGGAGGGAAAGGAAGGGAGGAGTGAAAAAAGGAGGAAGGAAGGAAAGGAAGAAAAGAGTAAGGAAAGAAGGAAGGAAGAAAGGAACAAAAGAATTGAGTGAGTATAGAAACAGGAGACTATTTCTGAATCTTAGTCTCTTGAGGCTTCTTTTATCACAGAGCCGGATTTAGGAAGCTAGACTCTGGATTTATAATTTAAATTGATATATTTCTCTCCTCTTTCCTTCTCTAATTCACTAAGCACTGGATCAAGCAGTCAGAAATATTTTTTTGAATTGTCAAAAATCACTAAATGGATTTCTGACAGCTCAAAAAAAATATTGACAGCCCCTCTGCTGAATGGTTTGCAAGGCCCCTATTACCCAGTACCCTACTTCTATTTTTAGCCACGTACAGTTCATTACTTTTGAAGCTGTTAAAAGCAATATTTAACAGGGGAAGAAAAGGGTATTATGTCAGTACAATTTTTTCCCTTTTTCTTCAGAAGGACCAACATGTAAATTTTCTTCTTCTTTCATTATTGTTTTAACTTTGTGACTGGCGTGGGGAGGTGGTTTCTTTTGAGCTGTTGTGTGGGGATATTTTTTAAAAGTCTATTTTTAGTTCTTTCTACCGTCTATGTAGGAGGACCACAGTTCCTGCCAGAAATCAATGTATCAGAGATGATCAAACTCTGACAGGCCTATAAGCTCATTACTATTGAAATGAGCTCATATTATCTCGATTAATTTCCCTATCTTCCTCTCAAGGCTGAAGAAAGGCTGCTTGCTTGCCTTGAGGAAGCCTGACCAATTAGTGTCCCTGGGCACCAGTTTGTGCAGGTCCTGGAGCTTGAACTCAAGGCTTGTGTACTATCCCTGAGCTTTTGCTTAAGACCAGCATTCTACCACTTTGAACTACAGCTCTACTTGCGGTTTTCTGGTGGTTCGCTGGAGATAAGAGTCTCACCAACCTTCTTGCCTGGGCTGGCTTTGAACTTTGATCTTCAGATCTCGGCCTCCTGAGTAGCTAGGATCGCAGGCGTGAACCACTGGCACCTAGCTGATGAATTCTTGTTTTTGAGGAACATGCTCTTGAATATTTCTCACCCTCTCCTCCATTAGCATCTGATCACATACTCCTGCCCTTCCTATGGTATACAAAAAACTCCTGTCACCCCTTCTAGCCTTATGGGTGACAGTCTGGAATATATACTGTGACTTGACATTTCAAAGGAGGAAGAGCATCCTTAGGCCAGCCAGACTAGAAGGCTTCCCCTGGGCTGCTTCTCCAGCTAAAACAGTCATAAAACAACTTCTAACTACAAGATACCTGTTTCTAGAGAGCATGGGACCTGCAGTTTATTTACATAGTCTTTGCTATCATTGGGAAGCAACTTCTAAAGAGCTCAGTGTATGGGGTTCTTTGACACCAGCCCCAAACATCTCCACCAGCAACAAATGACAATGGCACATTTCCACCCTTGATTTATGAGTGGATTTCTGAGGTTTTACTTCATCTTTGGAGAGGAGGGAGGAAGGAAGGAAGGAAAGAAGGAAGGAAGGAAGGAAGGAAGGTAGGAAGGAAGGAAGGAAGGAAGGAGGGAGGGAGGGAGGGAGGGAGGGAGGGGAAGGAAGGAAGAAAGGAGGGAGGGAAGGGAAAGAAGGAAGAAAAGGAGGGAGGAAAAGGGAGAAGAAGAAGGACAAGAAAGGGAGGACAAGAAGGGAGGGAGGAAGAGGGAGGGAAGAAGAGTGAAGAAAGGAACAAAGGAAAGAAGGAAGGAGGGAAGGAAGGAGGGGAAGGAGGAAAAAAGGAAGGAAGGAAGCAAGGAAGGAAGGAAGAAGGTCATTTCTTCTTATATTTTCCTTAAAGTGCTGAACCCCACACTGATCTCCAGGAGAAGACTGCCCAACTCTCATCCTCCTGTGGTCATAATTGAGCCAGATTAATTGCCATCTCTTCATGTGGTCACTAATATTGGTGCTGTATCAGGTCCCCCAAAAGCCCAGTAGAGTCATCCTTGCCAAGAGTTAATATCGCAGAGGAAAACGTCATATTAATAAGTTATCATTTTTTCCCTCAGTCAAGTTCACTGTCTCTGTAACATTACAAGAAGTACCACCTCACAGTTGTTAAGTTATATACTCTCCTCTCCCTACCTCCTTTGGCTTTACTTTACAAGGGTAAAAATAATATCGGTCCAAAGCATAAAATATTCCTAACATTTAATTCCTTTTTTGGGGGGGGGGTGCTCCAGTTAAAGTAGGTGTGGGTTTTCAAACTCGTCTACCAGGTTGAAAGCTTGTTTTTCCTGATCAAGCTGGGATTTGACAAATCTGTATTCCCCATCTGGATAGATTTATTTTCTTGCTAGTCCTGGGGCTTGAACTCAGGTCGTGAGCACTGTTCCTTAGCTTTTGTGCTCAAGGCTAGTGTTCTACCACTTGAGTCACAGTTCCACTTCTAGGTTTTTGTGGTTCGTTGGAGATAAGGGTCCCATGGAATTTTCTGCCTCAGAGCACGATCCTCAGATCTCAACCTCCTGAGTAGCTAGGATGACAGGTGTGAGTGAGCCATGGGTGTCCAGCCTGGGTAGATAGATTTTGGAGCCTGGCTTATATAGTTAGTAACCTCAGATCCCCACGTAGGGTCCCTTGGAACAAGCTTATGGGAAGAGCTAGGTTCCCTTTGTTTAAGAAAGGACTCAGTTCACATGGTTGGGGGGCGGTTGGTACAGAAAGCACTGGAAGACACATCAGGGGAATTTCCCTAAAGACTCTGCAAAGCTCAGCAGCCTCTGTCACATCCACTGAGGGGAAGAATATGACTTCTCCTTTTTCCTCCTGGGTTACAGATCTCACCTCCAAAGTCTTGCTTTAGTATTACAACGTTGCCTCTTTAAAACTCTGGTCTTCCATTCTTTGGTATCATGGCCTTGAGTTCCTAACCATGTGTCCTGATCAGGTAGTGCTGGTGCTTTTCTGCTTTGAGTGTAGAAGGGAGAGCCAAGGGAAAAGTTCACCCTAGCCAGTTGGTTACCAGTTCTCTGGAGATCTTTCCACAGAGAGTGGTATGCTTAAAGACAACCTTGAGAGGAGGGTTGGGCCCCTTTGGATGAAGCTAGGGGACACAAGAGTTGTTAGAGTAGGAAGGTTTGTTCTTGTTACATAACTCTCCTCTGAAAAAAGTTTAACTTTGTTGTTGTTGTTGTTGTTGTGTGTGTATGTGTGTGTGTGTATGTGTATGTACTTGGCTTGAACTCAGGGCCGGGCGCTGTCCCTTAGCTTTTTCACTCAAGGCTGGCAACTCTACCGCCTGAGCCACAGCTCCACTTACAACTTTTTAGTGGTTCATTGGAGATAAAGTCTAGTAGATGTGTCTATCTAGGCTGGCTTTGAACCATGATTCTCAGATCTCATCCTTCTGAGTAGCCAGGATTACAGGGTGAGCCACCAGACCAGCGCCCAACCTGAATACAGATCTTAACTTGCCTTCAACATGCTAGGAATACATTTTATCTCCTTGTGTCTTCCATGCCCCCTTCCAGGTAACTGTTTCTTTTTATTTTGTCTGCCAAGAGAACATCTGGTAACAGTGGTTACATTTGTGAGTGTGTGTGCCTGTCCTGGAGCTTGAACTCAGGGCCTCACCTTCTCACTGGGTTTTTTCACTCAAGGCAGGTGCTCAACCACTTGAGCCATACCTCCACTCTTGGCATTTTGCTGCTTCATTGGAGATAAGAATCTACCAGACTTTGCTGCCTGGCTTTGATCCTCAATCCTCAGATGTCAGATTC